CATCATCATCATCATCATCATCATCATCATCATCATCATCATCATCAGCCTCAGCATCAGCATCAGCATCAGCATCATCATCATCATCATCATCATCATCATCATCATCATCATCATCATCATCATCATCATCGTCATCATGATCACCATCATCATCATCATCATCATCATCATCATCATCATCATCATCATCAACATCAGCATCAGCATCATCATCAGCAGCATCAGCATCAGCATCATCATCATCATCATCATCATCAGCATCAGCATCAGCAGCATCATCATCATCATCATCAGCATCATCATCATCATCATCATCAGCATCATCCTCATCCTCATCATCATCATCAGCATCCTCATCCTCATCGTCATCATCATCATCAGCATCATCATCATCATCACCAGCATCATCATCATCATCATCCGCATCGACATCATCATCGTCTTGTTCTTCTTCATCATCATCATCATCATCATCAGCATCATCATCATCATCATAAGCATCATCCTCATCATCAGCAGCATCATCATCACCATCATCATCATCAACATCATCATCATCATCATCATCATCATCACCATCATCAGCATCATCAGCATCATCATCATCAACATCATCATCATCATCATCATCCTCATCATCATCATCGTCATCATCATCGTCATCATCAGCATCAACATCATTATCATCATCTTCTTCCTCTTCCCGCTTTCCCGTCTTCCTTGCTCGCCCCGTCTTCGTCTCCCCCTCCCCCCCTGCTCCTCGTCCGCCCCCTCCTCCCCCACCATCCGTTCCACCCCCCTCGCCCTCCCCGTACCCCTCCCACCCCGTCCCCATCCCCCCTCTTCTTTCTCGTCCTCCTCTTCCTCCTCCTCCTCCTCCTCCTCCACATCATCAGAATCATCATCATCATCATCCTCATCATCATCATCATTATCATCATCATCATCATCATCATCATCATCATCAGCATCATCATCATCATCAGCATCATCATCAGCGTCAGCATCAGCATCAGCATCATCATGATCAGCATCATCATCATCATCAGCATCATTATCATCATCATCATCATCATCATCATCATCATCATCATCATCATCATCATCATCATCATCATCATCATCATTATGAGCAGCAGCATCATCATCGTGATTATCCTCAACATCAGCATCATCATCCTCATCCTCATCCTCATCATCATCATCAGCAGCAGCATCATCATCATATCATCAGCATCAGACTCATCGTCATCATCATCATCATCATCATCAGCAGCAGCAGCATCATCATCAGCATGAGCAGCATCATCATCATCATCAGCAGCAGCATCATCAGCAGCAGCATCATCATCATCAGCAGCCGCATCATCATCATCATCAGCATAATCAGCATCATCATCACCCGTCTCGTCCTCCTCCTCTGCTTCATCTCCTCTTCCTCCTCTTAATAATATTACTCTTAGCATTAGTATTCGTAGTGCGTGGTATTATTCTTATTGGTATTATTATTCGCCTTCGTAGTCTTGTTCGTAGAAGTACTAGCATTAGTCTTCGTAGTATTCGTATTATCAGTGATCGGATTCGGATTGATAGTATGAGTCTCGTTCGTATGTCTAGTATTATGTTATTACTGTTCGTATAAATATCATTATGATTCGTAGCACTCGTAGCAGTCCCCTTAGTCGTCGTATGATTATCAGTATGGTTCGTAGCATTCGTAACATATCCGTATTACGAATATGAATCGTAGCAGTCCTCGTATTATTCTTAGTATTCTAATGTTTAATAGTCCTCATGTTCGTCGTCGTAGTCGTAGTGTTATTCTGATTCGTACGAGTACGATTAATAGTATTATGCGTCTTCTACTTGGTATTAATAATACTATCGATAGTAATACTTTGAATCGTGCTCTTCTTATGTGTCTTCCTCCTCCTCCTCTTCCACCGTCTCCTCCTCCTCCTTCCACTCCCCCTCTGTCTCCTCCTCCTCCTCACCCTTCTTGTCCTCCTCCTCTTCCTCATCTCCTCCTCCTCCTCCTCTTCCTCCTGCTCTTCTTCGTATTAAGATTATGGTTGACATTATTACTAGCATTCATAATAGTATTAGTAGTCGTAGTAGCACTGGCAGTGTTATTAGTATTATTAGTGTTAGCATTCTTAGTATGACTATGAATAGTATTAGTCGTAGTCTTCTTCTTATCAGTATTAGTCATATGAATATTCTGCATATTCTTAATAGTATTATTCATAGCATTATACTATTATTCTTATTCGTATTATTATTCCTCCTCCTCCTCCTCCTCCTCATCCTCCTCCTCTTCCTCTTCCCGCAGTCCCGCCTGCCTTTCTCGTCCCGTCTTCTTCTCCCCCTCCCCCCCTGCTCCTCGTCCGCCCCCTGCTCCCACACCATCCTCTCCACCCCGCCTCGCCCTCCCCGTATCCCTCCCACCCCGTCCTCCTCCTCCTCCCCCTCCTCCTCATCATCATCATCAGCATCAGCATCAGCATCAGCATCAGCATCAGCATCATCATCATCATCATCATCATCATCATCATCATCATCATCATCAGCAGCATCATCAGCATCATCATCCCCCTCCTCCTCCTCCTCCTCCTCCTCCTCCTCCTCGTCCCTGCCCCCCGCCCCCTCGGCGACCCCGGGGGGCCGCCAGGCGGAGCGGCGCGTGCCAGCCAGTGGATGGATTAGGTCTGTTGGAACATATATTCAAGGTGCGCACGTATGTAAAGCCGAACCGAAGCGGCTGCGGCAGCCGGGCCCGTGCGCCCAAAACTCGTGCCCCAGAAGCACGGGCCGCGAGGGATGGGGGGGGGTCCTCAAAATCCTCCCTGATCTTGCCTCCTCATCCTCCTCCCTCCTCCTCCTCCCTCTTTCTGCTCCCTCCTCCTCCTCCTCCTCCTCCTTCCTCATCCCTCTTCCTCCCTGCTCCCTCCTCTTGCTACGCTTTGCCCTACCTCTTGTCCTCCTCCTCCTCCTCCTCCTCCTCCTCCTCCTCCTCCTCCTCCTCCGGGGTGGAGGTTTTCCGTTGGCCTCGGGCAAGGCACGCGCCCCTGCTCGTGTCGGCGGCTTCCCCAGGGCAGGGAGGCAGGGCGGAGGAGAGGGAGAAGGAGGGATGAGCCACGGCAAGGTCAAGAAGGCGCACTGCCAGGGAGGGGAGGGGTGGTGGGGCAGAGCCCGCCCCAGGGGAGCCGCAAAAAAACACTCGAAGCGTCAAGCCCGCCCCACGCCATGGAGTGCTTCATGCATTCTCGATGTGCGACGCTTCTGACGAAGAGAGGCACCCACGGACATCCTCTTCCCCTCCCTCTTCCTCTGCCTCTTTCTCGTCTCCGACTCCTCCTCCTCTTCTTGTTCTTAGTGTTAGCATTCGTATTAATATTATTCCTAGTGTGAGGTTTAAACGTATTAGTAGAAATAGTATCGGTATTAGTATTTTTAGTGCGATCGGTATGGTTAGTACGAGCAGTAGTTGTCTTAGTATTGCTATTAGTAGTATGAGGCATTTTCGTATGAGTAGTACGTTTACTATTATCCGCATTCTTAGTTTTAGGATTCGTCTTCTGCGCCGTGGTACGATGTCTCTTACGATTGATAGTATGATTATGCTTAGTAGTACTACTAGTCTTGATGTAAATCGTATTATTATCTCGTTCGTGATAGGATTGGCAGTAATATTCGTATGAGCCGTAATATTAGTCTTACTGTGATGTATAGTCGTAGTTGTGTTCTTCGTCGTCGCAGTATGCGTATTAGGTGCACTGGTCTTTTTAATATCAGTAGTAATACAAGTATTCGCATTCGTGTTCTTAGTAGTCTTCGCAGTGTGTCTTACTACTATGGTTGTTCGTGTTGGTATTAGTGTTCGTAGTCTTATGATGATTAGTAACGGTCGTAGCATTAAGCTTCTTATAACTAGTCATATGATTCCTCTTATTTGTACCATTCGTCTTATTCGTAGTGGCATTAGTCCTCGTATTAGTATTAGTATTTCTCGAAACCCTCTGCCTCTTCCTAATCTTCCTCTTCCTCCTCCTCCTCCTCATTATCCTCCACCTCTCCTCCTCCTCCTCCACCGCCGCCGCCGCTGCCGCCCCCGCCTCCTCCTCCGCCTCCGCCCCCCCCTCCTCCGCCTCCGCCACCGCCCCCGTCTCCTCCTCCTTCTCCTCCTCATCCTCCTCCTATTCATCCTCCTCCTCGTCCTCCCCCCTCCTCCCCCCCCCCTCTCCCTCCCCCTCCCCCTCATCCTCATCCTCCGCCTCCCCATCATCATCATCTCATCATTCATCATCATCATCATCATCATCACATCATCATCAGCATCATCATCATCATCATCATCATCATCATCATCATCATCAGCATAATCATCATCATCACATCATCATCATCATCATCAGCATCATCAGCATCATGATCATCAGCATCATCATCATCATCATCATCATCATCATCATCAGCAGCAGCATCATCATCATCATCATCATCATCATCATCATCATCATCCTCCTCCTCCCCTCCTCCTCATCATCATCATCATCAGCATCATCATCATCATCATCATCATCATCGTCGTCGTCATCATCATCATCACCACCACCTTCATCATCATCATCATCACAGCAGCAGCAGCATCATCAGCATCAGCATCATCATAAACATCATCATCACCATCACCACCACCACCACCATCATCATCATCATCAGCATCATCATCATCCGCTTCATCCTCCTCCTTCTCCTCCTCCTGCTCCTCCGCCTCCTCCGCCTCCTCCTCCTCTTCCTCCTCCCCCGCCTCCTCCTCCTCTTCCTGCTTTTCCTCCTCCCCCTCCTCCTCATCCTCCTCCTCCTCCTCCTCCTCCTCCTCCTCCTCCTCCTTCTCCTCCCTACCGCGCGGACGAAGACGAGGTCGTGATCACGACCCGCCCCAATGTGGATTACTCGTCGGAATTGCGAACGTCCTGCACTCAGCCTCTTTCCTGCTGTGCTGTTGCAGAGGCACGGTGACGGTGTTTGCCGCAGGCACATGGATGTTACACCACATAGATTGCATGGCATAAATTGCACCACATAGATTTTACCACTCAGACTGCACCACATAGCTTGCACAAAATAGATTGAGCCGCCCATATTGCACCACATAGGGTGTACAACCTATATTGCACCAGCGGGATTGCCCCACATAGATTGCACCACGTTGCGCCACCTAGATTTCCAGGATCACCCCGTGTGTGGTCCACGCTGGCGATCATGTTGTCTTACCCAGACGATGTTTGCAACAATGGGTTCATGTTTGGCTGCAGACTCCTTCCGTGCATGCAGGCACCAGTCGAGTGTAACCGAACACCGTTGAGCATGTACGCGGGCTTCCTGAGGCCAATCGGTCTCGACATGCTCGCGGACCTGTCTCGGCTGTGGCGTGCAATGTACCTCAGGCAGGGTGGAACCCGATCTCTGCAATAGAGGGGGAGTCGCCAGATGACAGCATCGTTGATCGGCATGCGTGGGTCTTCCACAGTGGCGATTCCACTGAGCAGGGGCCAGGCGATACCCTCGCTGGCAGAGCTCGAGGCTGGCCGAGGTTACGGCAGGCTGCAGGGAGCACTTCGGCGGCGGCGGCCTCGCGAAGGGGGTCGACGTGCGGAGTCTTCGGAGGGTTGCTCACGATCTCCAGTTCGTGCAAAGGCAGGCAGCTGTCAGAGCTCATGTAAGGAGTCGAACTCTATACACCGACGCTTGTTCCGGCCCTGCATTGGAATCTGCACTGGAGAGCGGATCCTGGTGTATACGGGACCCTGTTGTATACATCTTTCGCTGCTTCCCCGGGACATCGGGGAAAAAAGTATACACCACACCACCCCAGCGTCGTCCAGGTCCCCGACCCTCAAAAAGTCCTGGGATGGAAAAACCGCCCGCCACTGGTAGTGTATATGCTCCAGTTTCCGATCATGGTCAGCACTGCTGATAGAGGCCTGGACCCATCTTCGTCGTTATGACGCGGGCCTGAGGCCCAACAATGAGTGCGACGAATGGCATGCCGATCGTGAAAGTGTTGCACAGCGTACCCGGCTGTGTGCATGCACTCATGGTGGCACAGCATTCGAGGACAACGACTCGCTCGTCCCGCAAGCTCTCCCCGAGCAGGAGGTGCACCTTCTGGACCCGTGGGCTCGTCCCAGGCTGCTGGACGAGAGCCACGCCACCTTCGCTGGAAGCTCGACGGGAAGGTGGTCGGCTCGTCGGCGAGCCGGGCGGCGGCTGCCTCGGTGCATGCACGATCTCGCAACATCTCTTGACGTTCGGCGACGCCACGGGCGAGCGGGACCCGCGCGACCCGAGGCTGAGGAGGGTCGGGCTAGCCGTCACAGTCTGCATGTCTGTTTCCCCACTCGCGCTGGAGCCCCATCTCTTCGGACCTCCCGGAAGAAGTTCCCAGACTGTCGCACGAGTCGAGCTTCAAGCCTTCAAGGTTTCCTGTCAAGTTCACTTGCGGGGCCCTTGTTACATCATTGATTGCGATGATGTGTGCCGAAGAAGGTGGGCTGGTCTCGCGCGGTGCCTGTCAGGCGCCAACGCTGACATCTGGCGAGAGATCGGCCACCACTCGGTACAGCAAGATCGTTCGACGGGTGAGGTCGTTGTTTTTAGAGGTGCACGAGATCGTGCAGCGGAGAGCCGCCTCTTGGCTTGTCCAGGGTAGCGAGGCTGCGAACCTCCCAGCAGAGGCAGCCACGGCTCGGGCTCGCCTCCCGCTGCACGATAGGCACAGAGCTCCGAGTGTTGAGAGAACGGCGCTGCTGGTTTTCGGCGGCGCTGGGCTCCGCGCTGCTCTCTGAACCATCAGGTGCCGAGCAGGAGGCGGCGGGGCGCGCCGAGGCCGAGGCGAGAGTCAGGCCAAGGCCACGCCAACGACGACGTTGCTCAACGGTGATGTTGGGAACCAACGTGTAGGAAATCACGATCCACACTATCTTACATTTACAATGTACAAATGTATTGAACGAAAACGGCACAGCGAATTCTAGGAAAGCACGAGCCACGCGTTCCCACAATACCGAAACCTACATCGCCGTTACCTACATCGCCGCTAGCGTGTCTACGGTCAGGACCGGACCGACCTGCCAGCGGCCGAGCAGGAGGCTCTTCCCCCACTTCGGACTCCTCCTGCTCCTCGCACGTGTGCACGCTTCGCGCCCCCGCGCGTCCTGGCCGAGAATGGGGCGATCTTGTCGCGTTTGCATGTCTTCTGCCTCTAAGGCCACTGAGACCGCCTGGCTAAAAAAGTGGCTGCATGCCTGTCGAAGCTGATGACGGGAAAGTGTCGAGCCCCGTGGACGAGGTCTACACGTCGCTGGAGGGTGGGCCAACCCCAAGCACACCTTATAACATCATGAGACGCTCAGCACATGCTGCTGCAAGACCTGCGGCTTCTTCGGCCAGGCCCATCTCAGGGGTCTCGCGAAGCCTTCCACAGAACCCATCTCCGAGACGCGCCGCAAGTAAAGTATTCGGATTTCTCGCGGGTTGTTCCTCAAAGCCTGAGCTTCACGCCTTTGATATCACTCGTGTGCTTGCGGTAATCCTTGTCATCCTCCTCCTCCTCCACCTACTCCTTCTGCTGCTGCTCCTCCTCCTCACTCTCTGCTCCGACTATAGAGCCCCGAAGACCCTCATGGCGGTTCTGGCTGGCTCTCGAACCCACTGGCATCTGCAGCGGGATTTCGACTGGCCGCTCCAAAAAAAACATAGAAGTGGATACGGGCTCCTGTGTTCCAGAGTCGACGAGAAAACCGCATCGCGTGTGCAGCTCGTTCTTGCCTATGGACGACAACAGCCAGAACAAAGATGTCCCAAAACAGCGATTTGGTACTTCCCTGGGTCGCGATTGAACCACGGGGTGACCAAAGCAAAAACGAAACAATGACGATGACTCCCCGCGAGATCGTCCCCAACACAGCGCTCTAGTCTGACCCTGGGAGGCTCAGACCGCGCCCGCAGATGCCTGTAAAAAAGACATGCTTTCTTGAAGGCCACCCTGCTCTCCTGCAGGAGGGGGAGGGGGAGGAGGAGGTAGAGGAGGAGGAGGAGGGAGGAGGAGGAGGACCAGTGTAAACCCAAGAGTCACCAACGATGTTGGAGTAGACCCTCCCTCCGAGCTCCCTCTTGATAGGCCCCTAAAACGGTTCATTTCCATTGGTGGAACTGCCTCGTGGAAGACACCCGTTTGCAGACCCTGAAGCATGCTGAGACACTGTTCCTGGGATCCCATCACCACGGAACAACCTGACTGTTGCGTCTTGACAACCCTAAATCGCGCCACAACACCGTACCTAGGACTTCAACACAGCGGATGGACGTAACTGTTGAACCCGCAAAATCCTGAACCCGTCCCAAACACCATTTCTGGTACGTTGACGATGGGAACCCGTGAAACGTTTGCAAATGTTTAACATGAATGCGCGCGGCGCTAAGGCGACAACCACAGTTTGAAAAGGAACCGCCCTCAATCCGTGAAACCCTTGCACATGTTGAAAACGAATGCGCGACACGCTAAGGCGAGAGCCATGATTTAAAAGGACCCGCCCTCAATCCGTGAAACACTTACGAATGTTTCAAACGAATGTGCGCGGCGCTAAGGCGAGAGCCACATGTTGAAAACGACTCGCCCTCAACCCGTGAAACTCTTGCAATGTGTTTAAAAGAACGCGCGCGGCGCCAAAGCGAGAGCCACGTTTTGCTACTCGCCCTCAATCCGCGAATCGCTAGACAAACAACAACAAAAAAACGAATGTGCGAAAGCCACGTATTGAAAACCACCCGCCCTCAATCCGTGAAACGGTTGCCACTTGCTAAGCTTCATAATGGTAAATGGTGAGGAAGTCTCAGGCGAAACGCCTGGCCCGCCCTAAAATTGGCCTCGGGGTGCGACAGGGAGAAATTATGTATAAGAAAAAGGAATGATGGAAGAGGAGAGGGAGGAGGGAGGAGGGAGAAGGGAGGAGGGGGGAGGGAGGAGAGAGAAGAGAGGAGGAGGAGGAGGACCAGTGTAAACCCAAGAGCAATCAACTATGTTGGAATAAACCCTCCCTCCGAGCTCCCTCTTCACAGGCCCCTAAAACGGTTCATTTCCATTGATCGAACTGCCTCGTAGAAGCAGCCGCTTGCAGACCCTGAAGCATGCTAAAACACTGCTATCGGGATCCCAACACCACGGATCAACCTGACTGTTGCGGTTTGGCGATCCTGTTTCGTGCCAGAACTCCATCCCTAGGACGTCAACACAACGAATCCATGTAACTGTTGCATCCGCATAATATCCTGAATCCTTCCGAAACATCATCTCTAGTACGTTGATGATGGGAAACTGTGAAACTCTTGCAAATATCTAAAATTCATGCGCGCGGCGCTAAGGCGACAGCCACATTTTGAAAAAGAACCGCCCCCAATCCGTGAAACGAATGTGCGCGGCGCTCCGGCAAGAGCCACATGTTGAAAACGACTCGCCCGCAATCCGTGAAACCCTTGCAAATGTTTCAAACGAATGTGCGCGGCGCTGAAGCGAGAGCCACATTTTGGAAGCCACTCGCCCTCAATCCGTGAAACTCGTGACATTTAATTTAATAACAACAATAATAACAATAAGAACTACAACAATAGTATTATTCCCTACCTTGGCTCTGCCTAGAGGGTTCTTACTTTGTTTGCTTAAAGGGAACGGGCAGTGTAAAACGCCCCGGGCGGTTCCCCCAGTCCCCGCCCCGCGGTTCCCCCAGTTGCGCCCCCTGGGTTCACCCAGCTTAGCTTAGCTAAGCTTAGCTTAGCTTAGCTTAGCCTAGCTTAGCTTAGCTTAGCTTAGCTATCTCATCTTAGCTTGGCTTAGCTTAGCTTAGCTTTGCCTAGCCTAGCATAGCTTAGTTAAGCGTAGCTTAGCTTAGCTTAGCTTAGCTTATCTCATCTTAGCTTAGCTCAGCTTAACGTAGCTGGCTTAGCTTAGCTTAGCTTAGCTTAGTTTAGCCTCGTCTAGCGTAGTTTAGCTAAGCTTAGCATAACTGGACGTACCTTAGCTTAGCGCAGCGCAGCATAGCGCAGCACAGCATTAGCACAGCACAGCATTGCATAGCATAGCATAGCATAGTTCAGCATAGCATAGCATAGCATAGCATAGCATAACATAGCATAGCGCAACATAACATAGCATAGCATAACATAGCATAGCATTAGCATAGCACGGCGCAGCATAGCATAGCATAGCATAGCACAGCATAGCATGTCATAGCATAGCATAGCATAGCGCAGCATAGCATAGCATAGCCTAGCATAGCATAGCATAGCATAGCCTAGCATATCATAGCATGGCGCAGCATATCAGAGCATAGCATCGCATAGCATAGCGCTGCATAGCATAGCATAGCATAGAGCATCATAGCATAGCATATCAGAGCCTAGCACAACACAGCGCAGCCGAGCGTAGGTGTAGATGTAGACGTAGATGCGAGTATCGCTGTTGATGTTGATGTAGATGTAGATGCAGGTGTAAATGTACGTAGCTGTCGGTGTAGATGTAGATGTTGCTTTCCTACATGCTCCAACTCCTAGGTAGGGTCGCACTGGGATAATTATGTTTAAAAACAAAAATGTGCGCCGCGTTTAGGGTGATAGCAACATTTTGAAAATCATCCGCCCTCAATCCGTAAAACTGTTGCCACTTGCAAAGCTTCATAATCATAAACGGGGATGACGGTGAGGAAGTCTCAAGCGAAACGCCCGGCCCGCCCTAATAACTGGCCTCGGGGTGCGACAGGGAGAAATTATTTGTAAGGGAAATAAATGGAGCAGGAGGAGGTGGAGGAGGAGGAGGAGCCGTTTTTTTCGTCGCTCAGGTGGAGCTATGAGGCCTGAAGGCCTCAGGCCGCAGGGCACACACAGGCCTGAAGGCCTGCGTGTGCAACGAGACGCGCTGCATGCATGGCCAACCCCAGAGACACACAGGGGAGACAGGCATGCCCTCCACCCCACATCAGGAATCCAGGAGCGTCCCGGCCGTGGCCCCGTGGACGTCGAGGGCGGCTGCGGGCCTCTGTCGGTCTACATGTTGAACGGGTGGTAGACTCGGCCCCTTGCACGCCTGTAGCAACGTCTCCTGTCGGCGAGAAAGTATCGACAGGCGCGCTCCGCTACTCGCAGAGTAGCTATTCGCAAATGGCTTGAACCCATAGCGGGGGATTTACGATCCACTACAACGACCCGAGCATGTGTTTTTCCAGGCGTTTGCGAATTGGCACTTCGCGAGTAGTGGAACGAGCTCGGTGCGAGTAGGGCCCGCCATCGGCAACCAACTGGCTGTTGTGCCGGATCGCTGGTCGCCACGCAAGCGGGCGGAAGTTAGACGAAGGAAAGGCGGGGGGGAGGAAGGAGACGCACGCGCCGCTCTCAGGAAAGAGACCAGGACAAGGACATAACCGGAGAGCGGGACGGAGAGGGCAGTGGGGAGGAACAGGAGGCGAGAGGGAGAGAGCAGGAAGACGAGGCCTTCCCCAGCGAAAGGACAAGGGGATGGACAGGTGCGCACTCTATCTATATACAGATACATCTACATATACATGGACATAGACATCGACATCGACATAAACATAGGCATAGACATAGACATAGACATAGACATGCAAATACAAATACCAATACACATGCACATGCACGTACATACACGTACATACACACATACATATACATCTACATATACATATACATATGCATATGCATATACATATACATATACATATATACAAATACATAGACATAGACATAGACGTAAACATAGACGTAGACATAGACGTAGGCCTATACATATACATAATACAAAGACACATACACTCACAAATACATACACATGTACATATACGTATACGTATACATGTACATATACATATACAGAGATATATATGGGTAGACATACAAATACATATGCAAATGCATCGGCATAGACAATTACATCTACATATACATCTACATATACACATACATAAACAAATACATATAAATATAAATATGCATAAACATATACAAATGCATATACATACACATGTACATATACCTACATCTGCGTATAACTGTAAATATACATACACACATGTGTCCCACCCGCCCTCTGGGCGCAGGTGGTCTAGCGCCTTTGTAATTCCAACGCCATTAGGCCCCTTACGATGGGCCTGGACGACGGGTTCCGCGAGGGGGTAGAGCATCGAGGACGGCCCAAGATGGCACCAAGAAGGTTCAGGAAAGTCCCAAATAGACTTAGCAGACTGCACAAGACAGTTCAGGACAGCTCAAGATGGCCTCCACGATGCCTCCAAGAGGCCCATAGACACTCCAAGACAATTCTGAATGGCCACGGAGCCTTCCAAGGACGCCCCCGAAAGCCCCCAAACCCTTCCAAAACCTTACAACATCAATAATGGTTGCCCTCTCGCCTGGTCGCTTCCGATCGGCTCCGGAGGCCTCAAGATGATTCGAAAATTGCCTAAACAGCACACGGAACGGAACGGAACGGAAGCGGGCGCAAGGTTCCGCGAGGGAGCTGCCGGGAGGGCCGAAGCCCGCTCACATCTTGATGTAATCGTCCCTCCGCTGGTCCCACGCGTCAAACCTCGTAACCTTTGTCCACGGTGGTCAGCACATGTTGTTTGCTATCGTCCACCCACCAGGTCTTGGGGCGCCCTGGGCGTCGCTGGACTGGCGTGCGTAGGTCCAGTTGTGGAGCCTAGCTCAGGATTTGAATCGGCCATTATGATACCTCCATATATATATATATATGTATAGGGGAAAAAAAATTCCGCATGGCCCAACAATCCACTTCATATTCGCGCATTCGTCGTACTGCCTCGTGGGTGTCACGTTTAGTCCACTCCAGCCAAGGCTCCAAGAAAGTGTCGTTCTCGGCGACGTCGTTGCCCCGGTTGGCGGGCGGAGCGGCGTCGGTGTCTGAGCCTGGCAATAATCGTCGTCTCGGCTCACGCACGATCATACGGAGCATCCAGCGCTGGATCTTCTCCAGTGCATTTTGCATACCACTTGTAAGCGTCCAACTTTCGCACCCGTACAACACAACGGTTGTAATCGTGCCACTGGAAAGCGGGAGCCGGTCACGTAAAGAATATGATGTATCTGTTAGTGCCTCTTTCAGCATGCGTTGTCGATTATGTTGTCGATTCCGGCTTTGTGCTGTCTTGGAAAGTGTATCCTTTTCCCCAAATATTCGATGAAGCGGTAGGAAGGATTACTTCGATCACCATGCCGTTCGCATGTGCATGTGCTGGAGGTCGTCCCCTGCGAGTGAATACATGGCCGTTGCGTAGTATCTTCGTCTTGCTGGGATGCAAGAGCACCCAAGCGCCCCAAGGGCCCCAAGATGCGATTTGTCAGAATCTGACGAGGGGAAGGGGGGGGGGCGTCATTAGTTAACCCCTTTCTTCGATCGATGGCATCCAAAATGGCCCCCATAATGCCCCCAAAGGGGCCCAAGAGAGCCCTAAGAGGGTCCCAGCACCGCCCCAAGAGAGTCGAACAGGCTTCCGAAATGACACCGAGGTGGCTCCAAGAGGCTCCCAGAAGTCGAATTCCAACAATTGTTAGTCTCCTTGCTTCACTGCAAGCTTACATACGCCCATCCTCCAAACAACTCCAACGGGCATGGTTGCTGGATGGGCCGGTGGGTGGGGATGCGCGAAGCGTCAAGAACTACCCAAGACGTTGCTGAAAGTTCATCTCACGCCGAGCGCGTCATGATCCTCATTGCCTCTTCCATCCCCTGGCCCGGCGACGACGTGTGTGGCCACCCCTGCCCCGATTGGGAGCAGGGAGCAAGGGACCCTGGCAGGGCAGAGGCCCCAGCCAGCCGTCTGGTCGCTTTTCGGTGGCTCCTCAGCTGGCGGCCCCCGCGCCTGAAGGCTGACCACCCGCACGGCCATGCCGGCGGCCAGGCCCGCCGCCTGAAGGAAGAAGCCAAAGACACCCCTGTTGCTGCTGCCTCTTTGCGCCCCCCCCACCCCCCACCCGCACCCCTTCCTCCCACCCGATCTCGACCGCCATCCACTCTCGGCCAACCCCTCCTCCCACCCGATCTCAGCCACCATCCATGGGGAGGCCAAAAAGTGACGATACTTATCATCCCAGAACCTCTCCAGGGGATGCTCCCAGGGTGCGTTCTGACCAGGATCTCGAAGCGAATCCAGCGGTGGCGACGAGAGCCGCCCAGGAGGCCGTAAAAGGGGAACACGGGCGAAAGGTACCTTTTCCTCCTCTGAATGCACTCCCGTCCAGCCCCTTCCCCTCCCCTCTCCCTCCCTCCGCGGCCCCGGCCCTCTTCCGTCTCTGGGACGGGTGGCCACGCGCCAAAAGAGTGCAGTTCTCTGGGTGCCTGAACCCGCCCCTGGCGCGGCCGCTGCCAGCCCGGGTACCCCCGGGAGCTGAGGGGCAACGATAGGAGAGGGGGGAGCTGGCATAGGGGGGAAATCCCCGTTTGCACTGACCCCCGTCTCTTAGACCCCCCTATCCTTGCCCCTGGCGTCAGCCGGCCCTGGTCCGTCCGCGGGCCCTGGCCTGCCCCCCCGCCGCCTCGCGAGGGCAAGGCAGAAGAAGAGCAAGGCGGAAGGGTGCCGGTGGCGAGGGCGAGGGGGGTGACCGGCTCACGCCTGCCAGGGAGACGCATTGGTCGGGGGCGTCGTCATCGTCGTCCTGGCGGTCGTCGTAGTGGTGCGGTCGTGGCAGTGGTCGCCGGCGTCGTGGCAGCCGCGGTAGCGAGTTGGAATACAGTCAAGTCGCATTGTGAGGATGCGCGGTCAGGATGCAGGGGCCTTGGAAGGCCACGTTGACGTTCTCGATCGGGGCTGGCCAGCGAAAGCCGCCAAGGATAGACCGAAGGCGCAAGGATACAAGGGTAGCCTTAGAGCGTTGCTCATCCTTACTATTCGACTTGACTGTAGCGGTCGCGACGGTGGCCATCCCAGGCAGACACGGGCGGGTCAGGGAGTCGCAGCGGTCTTTTCTCCTCCTCCTCCTCCTCCTCCTCCTCCTCCTCCTCCTCCGCCTCCCTCCTCCCTCCTCCCTCCTCCCTCCTCCCTCCTCCCTCCTCCCTCCTCCCTCCTCTCTCCTCTCTCCTCCACCACCACCACCACCACCACCATCATCACATCATCATCATCATCATCATCATCATCATCATCATCATCATCATCATCATCATCATCATCATCATCATCATCATCATCATCATCATCATCATCATCATCATCATCATCATCATCATCCATCATCATCATCATCTCATTCATCATCATCATCATCATCATCATCCATCATCATCATCATCATCATCATCATCACCAACCACCACAACCACCACCACCACCACCATCATCATCATCATCATCATCATCATCACCACCATCATCATCTCATCATCATCATCATCATCATCTCATCATCATCATCGTCATCATCGTCATCATCATCATCAGCAGCATCATCATCATCGTCAACATCATCATCATCATCATCATCATCACCACCACCACCACCACCACCACCATCATCATCATCATCATCATCATTGTCATCATTGTCATCATCATCATCATCATCGTCATCAGCATCAGCATTAACAACAGCATCAGCATCGGCATCATCATCATCAGCATTAGCAGCAGCATCATCATCATCACCATCATCATCACAATCACCATCATCAGCAGCAGCATCATCGTTATCGACATCGTCATCGTCATCATCATCATCATCAGCAGCATCGTCATCATCATCAGCATCATCATCATCGTCATCATCCTCTTCCTCCTCCTCCTCATCATCGGCATCGCCATCGTCATCATCAGCATCATCAGCATTGTCAGCGTTATTATCATCATCATCATCATCATCACCATCATCATCGTCATCATCATCGTCGTCGTGATCATCATCGTCATAATTAGCATTTTCATCAGCATCGTCAGCATCATCATCATCATCATCATCCTAATCCTCATCATCATCATCATCCTCATCCTCATCATCCTCCTCATCCTCATCATCATCATCATCATCAGCATCATCATCATCATCATCATCATCAGTATCATCATCATCCTCATCAGTATCATCATCAGCATCATCAGCATCATCAGCAGCATCAGCATCAGCATAAGCAGCATCAGCATCACCATCTTTAGCGTCATCATCATCAGCATCATCATTATCAACATCAGCATCATCATCGTCATCCTCCTTCTTATTCTTCTCCTCCTCATCCTCGCGCTTATCCTCTTGCTCAATACTTACACCATTCCCCTCTTCTGATTGCACATAAACCAATGGGATCCTTTGGGGGGTTCCACGTCCGCTATGACACGCGTCGGCAGATAGAGAAGAAACCAGCGCAATGGGAAGAGACGGGAGAGCTGGTTGCCAGATGTGTCCCGAGCGCAGCCAGCTTGACATCTCCCCGTCCCCCCTCCCCGCATCTGGTCCCTCCCCCCTTCCCCCTTCGGGCGTTGCCAGAAGTGCCCCTGGCCCAGGGTGCCCCCCAGCTTTTCGTTCATTTTTGGAGCCCCTGGGACCCTCTGAACCTCGTGAGGGGTGCTCTGGAGGCCGTGGGGGGCTCCTTGGAAACCCTGGGGGCACCTTGGGCCAGGGGTCCTTCTAGCAACACCCTACCCCTCCTCGCCTGCCCCCCTCCCTGGCTGCAGAGCGGCTTGAGACCACGGCAACTCAGCACCGGTCCCCGGACCCCTCCCGGGGCCCGAGCGCACCAGTGTTCCGAGCTGCGTCCCGCCGTGGCGACGAGGGGCACCCCCGAAGGCCAACTGCCGTTGCCTCGAGTCGCCCTCCTCTGACCCCACCCCGCCTCTCCCACCCGCTCCCTGCCCTGCCCATCGCTCGGACGTCCATTCCCCGTGAGTTTTTCGGCTTCGTGCGTGTGTTTTTCCGACACATGACCCAGAAGGCTCCTCGATGGCCCTCGCCGAGAAAAATGCACACGTCCGAGCGATGCCAAGTGAGGCAGCCACGACCCACCCCCAGCTCCGGCCCCATTCGGCCTTCTCGGCAGGTCAGCACCGAATCGGCAAATCGGGTCGGATCGAAATACGCGGCGGATCGGGCCGCCTCGGCACGGAGTCGGAATCGACTCGGCTCGGCTGCGCTGGGATGCACAGCAGCGCCATGCAAGCATCGGGCCGCATCGGCTCGTCGGAATATCGGCATCGAATCGGCCCAGGCCTGGCAAGCCAGAACCAAGATCTAATCGGATCGATCGCATTGAAAGTTGGCGGCGAGCGCGGGGAGGAATCAAGGAGGCGGCGGCGCTTCTCAGAAGCCCTCGCGCCTTCCAAGACGCCGTCTCCGTCCTCGGAGAAGGCCTAGAGCCGGGAGAACTTCTCAAAGGACCGCGAGCCTCCCGAGAAGGCCCGCCCCCCCTGCATCCCCCCCTGGGCTCGCCGCCGACTCACCTTCCGCCTGGGAGGAAGACCCCATCCCCGTGCAGGGCTCGGGAGGGAGAGAGGGAGGAGAGGAGAGAGGAAGGGAGGGAGGGAGGAGGGAGGGAGGGAGGAGGGAGGGGAGGAAGAGAAGGAGGACAAGGAGGAGAAGGAGGAGAAGGAGAGGAGGGAGGGAGGAGGGAGGGAGGAGGAGGGAGGGGGGAGGAGGGAGGAGGAGGGAGGAGGGAGGAGGGAGGAGGGGAGGAGGGAGGAGGGAGGAAGGCGGAGGGAGGAGGGAGGAGGAGGAGGGAGGAGGAGGAGGAGGACAAGCTAGGTGCGCTCGCGTCATATCTGACGTCCTACCCCTCCCTCCCATCCCTTACCATGGCGCTGATTTTCTCTATCCGCGGACGCGTGTCGTAGCGGACCTGTGGCTCCGCGCGCGCGTGCGTAGTGGGTGGTGGTGCACGTGCGTGCGTGCGTGCGTGTGTGCGTGGTTGTCGTGGTGGTGGTGGTGGTGGTGGTGGTGGTGGTGGTGGTGGTGTGGTGGTGGTGGTGGTGGTGGTGGTGGTTGTGGTGGTGGTGGTGGTGGTGATGGTGGTGGTGGTGGTGCTGGTGGTGGTGGTGGTGCTGGTGGTCGTGTTGGTACTGGTGCTGGTGCTGGTGGTGGTTGGACGGTTTTCTGAACATGACTCGAGCTATAGGACAGCTACAGAGCTCATACTTACAGAAACGGCTTCAAAAACATCAGGCGCGCTTGTCTGTTGAATCCAGAGCTCTGAACTCGGGCTGCTGCCCGAGCTAGGTTCGCGAAACTATTCGTATTGTTCGAGACATTGGTCGTGGTGGTGGATGTGGTGGTGGTGGTGGTGGTGGTGGTGGTGGTGGTGGTGGCGGTGGTGGTGGTGGCGGTGCGGCGCGGTGGTGGCGGGCGGATGGGCGCGCGAGAAAAAGGCCCGCGCTGGGGCGAGAACGCCGTCCTGAACGACGGAGGCCAAACACCGATCCGAAAATGAGGCCCACGCTGCAGCGAGAGCACGATTCGGAACGATTCGGAAGCAGAAATGAGGCCGGCGCCTCAACGAGAGCAGCATTTTGGGAAAAAATGACGCCGGCGCCTCAGCGAGAGTCGTTTCCCGGGATTTCCCGGGCATCCTGTGTTTAAAAAAACCGTGCGCGGAGGGTGCGCGGCCATCACCCGGACGCCATCAGGGGAAGAGGGAGACTGTTTTCATATTGGCTAATTGTGGAGGAGGGGGGAGGGAAAAGGAGGAGGAGAAGGAGGAGGGAGGGATGGAGGACGAGGGAGGGAGGGAGGAAACAGGGGGAGGAGGGAGGAGGAAGAGAGTGAGGTGAGGGAGATAGGGAGGAGGGAGGGAGGGGGGAGAGAAGGGGCGAGGGGGGGAGAGAGGGAGGGAGAGGAGCGAGGAAGAGATGACGGGCAAGCAGAAGGAGGAGGAGGAAGAGGAGGAGGATGAGGACTTTCCCAATCAGACGATGTCTGGAAGAGGAGGGGGGGGGGAGGAGGAGGAGGAGAGGGGAGGAGGAGGAGGAGGAGGAGAGGAGGAGGAGGAGGAGGAGGAGGAGGAGGAGGAGGGAGGAGGAGGGAGGGAGGGAGGGAGGGAGGGAGGGAGGGAGGGGGGAGGAGGAAGGAGGGGGAGGATGAGGGAGGAGGGAGGAAGGAGGAAGGAGGAGGGGGGAGGAGGAGGAGGAGGAGGAGGAGGAGAGGGAGGAGGAGGAGGAGGGAAGGAAGGAGGAGGAGAGGAGGAGGACGACGAGGAGGAGGAGGAGGAGGAGGAGGAGGAGGAGGAGGGAGGAGGAGGAGGAGGAGGAGGGAGGAGGAGGAGGAGGAGAGGAGGAGGAGGAGGAAGAGGAGGAGGAGGAGGAGGGGAGGAGGAGGAGGAGGAGGAGGAGGAGGGAGGAGCGCGCCGCCTCAAGGGAGCCCGTCCGGGGGCCAATGTCCGCTTCCCCTCATGGGGGCTATAACCAAGCACTCCAGAAATCATACATCGCCCACAAGCTAGCCGGAGAGCGTCGCACGAGCACGAGCCGACCGTCTTGCGATCGCTCTGGCGCGAGCTCGGATCATGCTCTCGACTCCGCCGGGGCCTTGGCGATCCTGTATCCGGGTGTGTCGCAAACAGAGAGAAGGATATCATGCATCAGGAGACAAGCGTGCAGCCCCTCCATCGCTAGAGAGCTAAGATCATGTACAAAAATGCGTCGCGAGAAATCCCATTGAGGACAGCAAGGGGGAAGGGGACGGAACAGACGACACAAGAGGGAGACAACGAGGGGGCAACTAAAATAATGATCGATCCTGTCTCCCGCCTCCACGCCGCAGCCAAACCTGCACGGTCGTGTGCACATCCTGTACCTGCGTGTGGTCGGCCATCCATTGCACACAGACTTCAGGATGGCAGTGCAAACGAATGGCCCGAACTTCTGGGAGGCGAGTTTCAGATTTAAAATTACACGTTCGGCAACAGGCATGGGGGCCCCAGGGAGAAAATAACGAACCCTAGGAAGCAGGAGACTGGCAGTGCTGGGGAGGTTCAGAAGTCGAGCAAGACATGTCGTAACCTTCGCCTGGACGTCGGGGATCTCCTCTTGGCCTAGCTCTGGGCTCATGCTGACGATGCTGTTGTAAGTTTGGATCATGTTGTATGTGATACTCGATTCAAGCCAGTCTCGATGGCGAGGGATTGCCAGAACATCAACATCATAATGCCGTATACGATGAAAACGGGCCTGGGCGTCACCAAACTCACGACTGTTGGCCGCAGCGCGGAACATGGCAGCACGACAGCTCGGAGACAGGGCTCGGGGAGCCACCCGAATACCCAAAGAGTCCATCTGCCGCAGAAGGTTAGAAGGTACAGCGTGATAAGGGCCCGCTGTGAGTCGTTGCAAACAGATGTGCTCGGCGTCGTGGATACTCTTGGGGACGGGGTACACTTGGCTGACATGAGAGAGCACAAGGAAAGCAAACACATTATATGCCTGTATATTCTGCACCATGCTCAGCCGGAGGCTCCTTACATGCGAGGTCCTCTGGATAAACTTTCGTCGAGGGCCCGCCCAAGATTTCTCCAATCCTCCAGGCCCAACATACAAGCCCAAATACTTACCGCAACGTGAAACTGTCATGCTCCGAATTCGTGGGTGCAGTTTCCGGAATGCTTTTATGATGTCCTGGATGTCAAAAATCTCACAAATACAACGCAACACTTCTGAAGGTTCAAGACAAGGCCAGACACGATTGCAGTCTGACAAAACCATAACAATACGACTGGCAACGAGACGAACAAATTCCCTGAACATACGCCAACGTCGTCAGCAAATGCAAGAGAGCGACCCGGATGAACATCGATACGACGCTGGAGTCCTCGAAGGATGGGGTCGAAGCAAAACAAAAATAACAATCCACCTAATGGACAACCTTGCTTGACTCCGCGGGTGATCCAGTAACCAGGGTGCCGTCCTCCACCGAACTGCACCTCTACGTAAATGTCCAAATAAAGATTCTGTACGGCGCGAACGATGTACGCCGGAACGCCCATCCCCCTCAGCGAGTCGATCATCCAACGGTGTGAGATCGATGGGAAAGCTGCCTTCAGGTCCAGAAGAATAACCCCAGAATCCTTCATATCTCGGTGGCAGGCCCACTCCAACAACCAAGATTCAAGCTGTACGATGTTGTCCGGCATGTTGCGCCCCTTGATGAATCCGCGCTGAGTGTACACAACAGAATACTGCGCCTGCTTCATGAAAGGTACGGCTAAGCACGCGGACAGCACCTTGTTATCAGTGTTGGACAACGTAAGGGTCCTGGCCTGGGATGGGGTAAGCACGCACTCAAGGCCTACGCTATCCACATCAATTTTGGGAGGGAAAACAACAATTCCATTGTTGAATCCACGTGGCAACGAAGAACCAGCCAGCATAGCGCAGTAAGCGCCGTAGAGGGCCCTGCGTGCAATCTCTCCTCCTAGGCGCCATCCACTGTACGGGACTCCGTCGGGTCCAGCAGCAGTGTCCTTCGACTTACTCCCTAGGACGCCGTAGAACTCATCCTCCGAGAGCGTCCAGAGAATACCGGGTGCCACGGACTGCACCCCTGTCATGAGTTCGTGCCAGACACTGCAGTAGAGAGGGTCCTGGGACGCATCAGCGGCTGAGTGGACAGGCCCCCAGAATGCAGCCAGATTGCGAGCGCTCTCTTCGATGCTGATGGGCTGTTTGGTGGTGGGGTCCCCAACGCTATAAGTGGCAAGCTTGCGACGCTTAGGTGACCAGGACTTTAACAACGCATGCAATCGAGAGCACGCTGGGTCGTCGTGCCGATGCAAAGAGGCGCACTTCTTCGGCAATGCGGACTGCGGGCTAATCTCCAAGAGCGCATCCATAAGCATATCGGAGTTCTTCTCAGCTAAGAAATTGTGAAATCCAACATAATCTACGAAACTATGCCGTGCATCGTCGTAAAACCGGCGGAGGTCTGGGACAGATGCACGCGTAAAACTATGCTTCCCACACCTGTGCATACGCATGAGACGAAGACAAGCTGCGATCACTTCCTTGTTCGTGCGAGCACCGTACAAGAACATGCGACGAGTGAGGGCGTCCTTCGCAGCGTACATCGCACCCTTGACATCGCGGAGGGCTGCGAGGGGGTCAGCGGGGAGGCCAACCTCCATCAAAATAGCATCCGTTATAGTCCCGAACTCGGGATGCTCCGTGACCCATCGCGGCAAAGACGGAGCTCGCACACCACCTGACGAGAGCTGCACGTATACTGGCACGTGGTCGGAGGGAGTCGAAAGATCATGAGCAACCCCAATGGTGCCAGAACGCGCATGCCAATCGAGAGCTTCGCCTGTCGGCACGTTCCAATACACACGGTCCAGGCGAGCAACGCTGTGCACAACGTCTCCGATACGCGTTCGGTGAGTAAAATCAGGCTGAGGAATTTCAACCTACTCGCCAAACAAATGTGAGAAATGAACCAGGAGAGGAGAATCGTCAAGCATCGCCGGGGCGCTGCCGTCCAAGGGCTGCCGTACCTCGTCGACCTCCCGGAAGTTCCAATCCCCTCCGACAACTCAGAGAGAAGCAGCGACAGGAGGTAAAGCACGGCGCACTCGACCCAGAAATTCTCGCGCTGGCGTCGTGGACAGCTTCGGATCCACATGCACACTCGATATGGTGAGGCACCCCGCATTGCCCGCAAGATGAAGAACGACACCGCGTCCCAGAGCAATTTCATGGATTCTGGCAGCCTGGAACCTAGTTAAAAACTCCCTGGCAATAGATATAGTCACACACCCCGAATTAGGATCAGAACAAAAGGAGCCACAATGGAAAAAAGATGGGAATTCGCGATCGAGAGAGGCGAGGTCGGCAGTCGTGCCATGCGTCTCCTGCGTGAGAACTACGGTATACTGCTCAACAAGGCGGCGGAACAAAGCACTTTTACGGCACTGGCGAGAATGATCACCGTGAATACTGCCGAACAGCGCTGCGCTGTTCCAAGTGGCGAGGCAGAATTCGGAGGAGGAGGAGGGAGGAGGAAGAGGAGGTCTCGCCGCCGAGACGCCAAACCGGATCGATCGGACCGACACAAAGGCCCCGCCTCGGGGCCCTGGCGCTCCGAGGGCGGGGGCGCCGCCGGCTCTGGCGGCCTGCCGGCAGGGGGCGGGGGCCGCGGCACCAGGCGCCGGTCCGCCGCCCAGACCCCCCTGAGCTCGCTCTCGGCTCGTCGCTCTTCGGGACCCCCAAAGGCCGTGCTTTTCTTAGGTTGTGTGTGCTCTGATTGTAGAAAAAACTATCCTCTTCCCCCCCTCCTTCTCCTCCTCCTCCTCTTCCTTCTCTTGTTGTTCATACTATGTGTCTACATAACTCATAGTATGAGCAGTATCTAGTATTAGCAACAGCAGCAGTAGTAGTAGTTGATGTTGTTATAGCAGTAGCAGTAGCAGTAGCAGTAGCAGTCGCAGTAGTAGTAGTAGTAGTAGTAGTAGTAGTAGTAGTAGTAGTAGTAGTAGTAGTAGTAGTAGTAGTAGTAGTAATAGTAGTAGTAGTAGTAGTAATAGTAGTAGTAGTAGTAGTAGTAGTAGTAGTAGTAGTAGTAGTAGCGGTAGCAGTAGCAGTAGCAGTAGCAGTAGCAGTAGTAGTGCACAAGTAGTGTAGTAGTAGTAGTAGTAGTAGTAGTAGTAGTAGTAGTAGTAGTAGTAGTAGTAGTAGTAGTAGTAGTAGTAGTAAGGTTGCTCTTATTATCCGCAGAGCCCGTATTATTATTATGAATATTATTATTATTTTGCTATTATTATTATTATCATTAGTATCCTGTTTTATTTTTAATAATATTATTATTATTATCAGTATCCAGTTTACTCTTCTTAGTGGTATACGTATTATTATGTTACTACTATCCGCTTATGAAAATGTTCAGTCTGATTCGCAGTGTGTTATTATGATGGTTGTTACTAGTATGCTCCGTGTGATGGCTATGAGAAATTGTTTGTGCATTAATATGATTAGCATGGGTCTTATTGTCCTCAAAATTCGCAATCTGAATCACAATATGAATATAAATCAGAGTACGGTTCGTTGTGACAATATTATGTATAGTATGCTTAGTCTTCGTCTTGTTGAGAGTATTCTTAATATTAGAAGTATTCATGTATAAAGTTGTTTTTGTCATGTTTAGCCCGACTAGTATTAGTATCCGAATTCGTCATACTCGTCTTCGTATCAGTCGTATCATTCCTGTCCTTCGTTTGATTATGACTACCCTTCTTATTCGCATCATTCGCATTATTCACATTATTACTCGTATCAGTTTTCTTATTCGGATTGGTGTTAGTAGTATTAATAGTTTTTCTCCATCTCCTCCTCCTCTTTTTTTTTCTCCTCCTGGCGACGTACCCCGTGGTGTGACCTCGGCATCCCCAGCGACCTCACCACGCGGTCCGCCCCCGCGAGGTTCTGGGAGACCTCGGAAGCTCAATTCGCTGAAGATATCCTCGGAGAACGCCTGAAGTGCAAGTCCCACGTGATGAGTCTTCACGCCGCGGCTTACGTGGGCCGCCACCGTGGCACGCCACACTGGACACGAGGGCGCTCAAGCGTGACCTTCCGTGGGCAGCGGGCCACTGTCGGCGCAATCGACCCCGTGTTTGTCAGTCGCTCACGTGGTGACTCCGAGCCCCCAATATCGCGAATCAACTTCACGGTTACGTCCTGACGTTCCTGCATCGTCGTGGGATTTCAACACCGCGAATCAACATGAGCGCTGCGCCGCTGCAATCTTGAATTGTTCCTGGGTGATATACCATAAGAATATGTTTGACTGTTGTGATGTTGTTTGAAAACGAATGCGCGACGCTCAAGCGAGAACCACATGTTCAAAACCACATGCGGTCATCCGTGAACCTTTGCAAAATACAAGTGTGCGTGGCGCTAACACGCAGCCACGTTTTGAAAACCACGCGCCCTCCGCCCGCTTAACTCTTGTAATATATTAAGACGAATGCGCGCGGCGCAAGGGCGAAAACCACATGTTGCAGACCACCCGCCCACCTATCTGCGAAGCAAATTCAACTGTTTAAGATGAATGTGCGCGGCACTACCACGAGAGCCACATTTCGAATATGGCCCGCCCTCCATCCACGAAGCTCTTTGCAAGCTTTTCTGACGAATGCGCGCGGCGCTCAGGCGAGAGCCACATTTTGAAAAGGAGTCCTCCTCCATCTCAGCGGAGCTCTTGCAAGCTTTCAAGACGAATGCGAGAAGCCGGGGCGAGAACCACACATTGAAAACCCCCCGCCCTTCATCCGTGAAACTGCCGCTAAAGCGTGAACCAAATCATGACTGGCATGGCGTCAACCCGCCCAGCTGATCCCGCGAAGAAGAAGAAGAAGAAGAGAGAGCGCGATGGCATGAGGTCTTTCCCTCGGCGGCGAAGTCGCGGCGGGAGGGAGAACGGCCCCGGGCCTGAGAAAGGCGCGAGGCTCAAGCAGGCAAGCCAGCCGCCAGCTGCAGGGGCCCGCCGGCCAGCACTGACGCAAGGGGGTAAGCCCCCGGCTGCCACCCGGGCACCGCGTTCGCCTGCCGCTCTCTTCGGTTGCCACCCGGCGCGCGGATTTGCAGCGCGCACACAGGTCCTCGTGGAAGCCCGGGAGCTCGTCAACAAGCGCGGCGCTGCTGCGCAACGAGAACTGCCAGGAGCGCAACGCGACGCCCTGCGTGCCAGAGACG